AGGACACACACACACGTGGTATTGTGAAAGGATTTCAAAAAGGCTTCTTAAATATCAAATCCTACAGCCCACCAGTTGTGCATCAGGAAAACACATGGGAATTCTGCTCTGACATGTCCACACAGAAATTGTGTTGAAGCAGAGTTCCTGCCTTTGGATGAGGTTCATCAGTTACCTGCAGGCTTTGACATTTATGAAGCCTTATGAATTGTTTTAAAATCATATCACAATTTGGAACCTTACAATTGAAAGATCCCAGAATACTGAAACAGTATTATACTGTTATACATTTTTCCTACCCAGCCAAAACGTTTCTTGTAAATGAAAAAGTCGCACCCAATAAAATCTCAAAGGTTTTACTAAAACAATAACAACTTGTATTGATACAGGGAGTCCTGTAGCTCAGTGGTTAGAGATCTCGCCTTGCAAGCGAGCGACCTGGGTTGGATTCCCGGCATGGTGAAACCTTGGACAAATTTCCTTATTCCACACACCTGATAATAATCCCTCAAGAAAAAAAAACAATAAGGAAATTGGTCACTTCAATCCAGGACTGTTTGTAGGACACTGCTTTGTGCAATTGGCTGCCGAGTTTCCCCCACAAATATACAGTCAATTCACTTTACAGTATATTTCTGTGAAGTGCTTGAGACATCTAGAAGGCATGAAAAGTGCTATATCAAATGCAAGGATTATTATTATTATATAGCGCTCTTCACGTGGGGTTGTTTAAAAGCACATAAACAGTCTTTAAAACTGGTATCCCTTATTTGTGTCTCTCTTCATCTTGATAATGAAGAACTAACTGCTGATGAGCTCCAAGTTCTCCTTCTTCCATTTTTAGCAGATCGACAAACAAATACAACAACAACAACAACAACAAGATTCCATTTATAAAGCGCCTTTCACGTCAGGAGGACGTCCCAAGGCGCTGCACAATTGGGTCATGACCCGAGCAGGGGGAAATGGTCAGGGGAGGGGAGGGAAGGGAGGGAGCGAGGAGGGGGGAAATTGTCAGGGTGAGGGAAATGGTGAAATAAGAATAATCGTACAAAGAAATTATTACATTTGCTTAAAAGCGTCCAATGTATAAAAATCTCTGCATATTTGCAATGAAGTGGCTGTAAGTTGCTTTCCTTGTGGCTCAGTTGGTAAAGTCACTGCTCAGTATGAAATTGAGCCAGACACCAAGAAGATTTCAAAATGTTTTCCTTTCCTCAGGGCAGGTCCCAAATTCAGTCCCTGGCCTGCGCTGAGTAAGCTGATCTGAACTTGGATGGAGGTAGTCATGGGCACTGGAATGGTTTCAATATCGTTGGGCTAGGGAGGGGAAAAACTATCCTCCTTCAGGGGAGGTAAGTGGAGTCTCCGCTGAGCTGGCTCCCAGGTGATATGCTTGGCAAAGGAATATCAGAATCGAGTCAATCCTCTGTAGTGGTCTTGGTATTTCGGTCCCTGAGCCTGGTAGGACTGCAGTATTCCAGGGCACGGCTGATGGCAGACCAGCCCAGCTGGCTCATCGGCAGGACTTGGAAGGGCAGACCAGTTACTGGGGCAGGGATTCTTCCCACTCACATCCTGTTAACTCTGCAATCCAAAGCCCTAATTGGTTGGATGGTCTCAGTGTGGTTTGGTCATTCCTGAGCATGGTGATCGGTTTCCATATGTGTCAGACACCTGGCTGACAAACAAAATATTGCTGCACAACATTCAGTAATTAAGTAAGGACAGCATCAAAGGTGGTTTTATTGTCAAATAGGCTGCCGAAACTCACTGCATAGTCTCATATATAAAATATATATGTGGGTGTGAAATCAAAACAATGAAACAGTTCTCAGCGACCAGAATGTACGTTGCACTCTAAATGCAGTCGAAGTGCTATGACCTTAGTACAGCACAGCATGCATGACTTCTGGGAATCCAAAGTTAAATGATATGGCAGCCCAGAATCCTTGTTTATTGTTTGACCTTTGGGAACAACATGTTCGCCTACAAAATATAAATGATGTGAACGGCGCTTTATCAAATTCAAGGATTATAATTATTATTATTGCTGCCTCGTACTGTTTCGGCATGATGTGCAATGAGTCAATTAACTAATTCTCTTTCAACTTTCCTCTTGGCAAGTTCTATCCTATTCATGTAGTAAATCTGTCTCCTATTTGATTTCCTCTATGCATTACTTTGGAGTATTGAACTTCATTTACCAGTGCTTAGATCAGGTGTACAACCAGTCAAGTTCTTTTTCAGTCCAGCTGTGTCAGCTTTCTCTGCCCATAAAGTACTTTTACTGTACATTAGTTCCATTGATTTCCAAACTATATACAATGCAAAACGAAAAGCCTAAATCCTTTGTGCTTTCACTGCATCATTTCCTGCAGTAATGTAAGCATTCAATCAGGATTAGGATTGAGATACCTGGCTCACAAAATGCTCACTTTTGAAGTAAATATTCTGATAAAAGTTACTATTCTAATATGTTTAACATTATACTGTAATTTGTTTACATTTCACAGCTGGACTTTTCAAATGCCCATCTCGCTGGCCTCCCTAGTTCCACTATGCATAAAATACAATTAATTCAGAACTCCGCTGCCCAGATACTAACCCACACAAAAGTCCGGACCCCCACCAGGCCAGTCTTTGCCAGGCTGCACTGACTCCCAATTTCCGAATAGATCAACTTCAAGATCCTCTCTCTTGTTTTCAAATCTCTTCATGTCCTCGCACCTCCCTACCTTTTCAACTTGCTCACCCCCCACTCCACCATCTGCTGCCTCGGCTCGGTTGGCTCCAACCTCCTGTTTGTCCCTTGCCTCAACCATCGGCGACTATCCTTTCAGCTACTACGCTGCGAAGCTCTGGAACTTTCTCCCCCAATCCCTCCGTCTTGCCTCCTCCCTCCCCACTTTCAAATCCCACCTAAAGACCTTCCTTTTTGATGGTGCTTACCTCCCCGCTCCCTCTCCTCCTCACTCGGGGTCAAACTCCACCACTGTTAAGCTCTCCGGGTCGCTACCTGATGTGAAGGGTGCTATATAAATGCAAGTTGTTGTACACATTATTTTGTGATCTAACTATTTATGTGTAGGTGGGATGCATGAAAATTTCATCTTGGTTTGAATACTCTTAAGCATGGTGGTGAGTTTCCACATGTAGCTGACCAAAAGAAAACTGTAGGGCTGTTTATGGGACATTGCTGTGCACAAATTGCCTGCTGTTTGGGCCAACAAATGTACAGTATTTGTTTATCAAGCTGCAGCAAATCCTGTGAAATGCTTCATCAGGTTGTGATATGGCGCTACATCAAATGGAATGATTATTATTATACAGTGAGGTGCAATGTTATGACAGGTGTATATTGGTTGGGTTAAACGGCTGATTTACTGCTCTATAAAGATACAGTGCTGGCTGAGTTACAATCAAGTGATGGCTGAGTAAAATCTCCGTTTTGCCTAGACTTTCATTCTGCCAGTTTAATGCATTTTATTTACTCATTTTATATTACCTTTTCTGTGAAGGGGAAAAGTGCACAAACAAACGTCTGTGGATATAATAGGTGTTACAGTATTCAGTGCTTTACAAAAGGAGAGGATAGTAAATAGATGTAAAGATAGCAAACATATTGAGTGAAATAATGGAAATGTTGGGAATTTCATGTGATTTCTTTTATTGTGAAAGAACACTATCTAAAAGTGAAGGGTTTTGAAAACTGCATCTAATTGTATGCCTTTTAATTCCAGTATAATCACAATGGATAGTTCAAATGTTAAACATAATAGGAAATAAATTCAAGATGCTAACACGCCATATGTGCTGCAATCTGTGCTGTGTCCGTGTGTTGATTTTTGGCGGGACAGCCATAGTCTGGTGAATGTTTTTATTCCTCTAGGGAACCTTTAGTTATGTGCATTTTATGAACCTAGGCTTATTATTACTTTCATGCTGAGTCGAAGACTTTGTTCTTAATAAATCATACCCATTCCCTTTAATGCTATGATTGGAAATCTTGCTGAGTTCAGATAGCAAATCTGTTTGGAAATGTTAACACTTACTTAATTGTAAGTTAAAATGACACTAAGACAAAGTGTCCAACAGGTCTCACATGGTGTCAACTTGCAATCTGCTTGTCTTCAGCATATTACTTTTGATCAAATGAAACCATTTTACTTTCACATAAAAGCTCCTTTAGACAAGGAGAACTTCACAACCTATATGCATGTGAAACTGATGGTACAATAGATATATAGATAGAACCACAAAATGTGTGACCTATTGGAGGCATTCAGTCCATTTTTTGTATTGGTGTTTGTTCCTCCAAGAAACCATCCATCCTAATCCCAAATCCCTGCTCTTTCCTCATTCCCTCAATACGTTTTCTCTGCATGTGCTTGACCAGTTCTTTTTTAAATGCCCCCAGTTAACTAAGAGCTATTCCAGGCAAATCATTCCAATCCTTTCGGAGAACAAATTCGTCCAAACTTCTCATTTTATGCCCTTGGTAAAATTTTTGAATTCATGCGCTCTTGAGCCGGACAACCATAAAGAGTTCTCCATGATTAGTAATAAATAATGATAATAATCATCCCTGCATTTGGTGCATCTTCCATGTCAGGATGATGTCCCAAAGCTCTTTGCAGGATTTGCTGTCAAGTGGAGTGACTGTACTTGTGGGCGATCCCAACAGTCAATTTGGCACAGCAATGTCCCATAACCAGCTATGAAGCGAATGACCAATTTTATTTGGGGGATTATTGGCCAGGATACTGAGAGAAACTTATTTGTCTTTTCAAGTAGTGCCATGGGATCTCTGACGTCCACTTGAACAGGCAGACGGGACTTCAGTCTCATCCGAAGGTCGGCACCTCCAACAATGCAACACCTCCCACCACTGCATTGGAGTGTCAGCTTAGGCTATGTGATTCCAAGACATGTGTGTCATAGAAAAGATTTGGATTGCTGCTTTTCATTACTCATTATTTTTTTCCTCTTCTCAACAGGACACAGGCAAAAGCCTGAAGACCAGCCCAAAGTCGGATTGTTCTCAGAACGTCTGAGTGAACTGGAGCGTCTTCGCCAGACAGCAATGAGAGTGGGTGCTTCAACACAGAGCCCCCGTCATTCTCTCAATCCCACACCTGTTCCTTTCAGTTCTCAAGGCCAGGCTCAGATCACAGGTATGTGGATATTAAAGGCTACCGAAGACTGAATAACTGTTGGAGTTGTGATAACAGAACAATAGCAGTAGAAATGTTATTGTTAGTAATTTGTAGCCTGCTTATTTAATTATAGTGTCAATGCTCACCAACAGCTAATTAACCTTCATGAGCAAGTCACTTACAATAAATAATTTCTTGTCTAGATGCTTTAACAATTTCTATACAGATTGTAATTCATGTGTTCCAAAAGGTGGTTTATACTGTTTTCCTATTCATTGAGGTTCCACAATTTTCAAATTATATTTTATTATTATTTTCATATCTGATATTACATTCTATATTTACCCTCCTCAACCCACACAATTTCTCCCATCTACTACTGATTTTACCCAATATACCAATTGAAGACAATTGAGACAAATAAATTGTAATAATCTTATAGCCCAGAAACAGGCCATTTAGCCTATGAATGAGGAGAATTTCTACTTGGGTCTAGATTTACTCTATTTATGCAGCATTTCAGAGCATCTAGAATTTGGGAGAAAGTCTTAACTTTGAAGTGGGTATTCTGTAGTTCTTAAAGGAACTTACAGAAAGCTGGCTTCAAAATAGACTATTTAAGAATTTGCCAAATTCTGTACGTTCTGAATTGTTAAGTCAAGAGAGTAAATCGAGACCCCAGGTGGAATTTCTATCCCCAAGTGTGAACTGGTGTTTTTCTCCACATCTGCCAATCTAAACCTCTAATTTTACTTCCAACATTTATCAAATTCCCATTTACCATAATTTATGGACTCTGCTTCAACAACAGTTTGTGGCAGAGATTTCCACATTCCAACTACCATCTGTGCAAAGATTTGTTTCCTAACTTTTTTGTGATTGTATTAATAAATGTATGCCCATAGCTAGATACTGTCATACACAAATGACCGGTAAAACTAGGCTTGCTGCGGGTGGACATTTAACTTAGGTTAAATCAAGCACTCCTGGACAAGTTGTCTAGATATAGAGCAAAGTTCCTTCTACACTAGCTTAACAAGGTGCTGTGCTGTAACAACCTCTAGCAATACACATTTTCTCCATTTCCCACATTTAACACCTCTATGGGTGAGATTGCCAATGTAATGTCAACATGGGGTTGAGTTATGACCAGGAACAATTAAGTTATATTTGGCTCAGTAGTAGCACTCTCGCCTCTGAGTCAGAAGGTTGTGGGTTTGAGTCCCATGTCAGGACTCATATAGTCAAAGCTGACACTCCAATGCAGAGATGCGGGGGTGTTGCATTGACGCTATCCTTCAGATGAGACAGGAGGTCCCATCTGCCTGTTCAGGTGGATGTCAAAAAAAGGAGGGAGTTTTTCCCAGTGTCCTGGCCAACAATCCCCCAAATAAAAAATCAGTCATGTTTCTTGGCTGTTTCTGGGACATTGCTGTGCGCAATTGTGTTGTCACGTTTGCCTACAAATACACAGTCCCTCCATTTCACAGCAAATCCTGTGAAGCGCTTTGAAATGTCCTTCCGATGTGAAAATCTGCTATTTTTGCTGGCCTACTTCTTGCAGTTGCAACACATGGCCTGCTCATTTAATAGACCTTTTCTCAAAAATATTCTGAAATAATTCAGTTTAAAGGCTTTGCTTCAGACTTCTGGTGTCATGGGTTTTCAGGTCTGTTGATGGCTGACACATCCAGCCTCAAGTACAAAGTATCTTGACAGTCTGTTCTTAATGGAATTCTCTCAGTGGGACTAAAACAAATAAAGTATGTCTGTGTTTCTTACTAACCATCCAACCTCAGCGAGGAACTAACATTCACCTACTTCATTAGAAACTGTGCAGAAGTTACTCACATGCCACTTTTCCAGTTCAAGCAAGTTGGACACAACCTGGGTGGGGGGAAAGGGAACGTTAAATGGAGGGGACATCAGGTCAAGTGTGTCCAGCGTTTCCATCGCAAATATTAACGGCCTTACAAATTTGGAAATGCGAGCATGGAGGATATCGATGACAGCATGCATAGCAAAGTGACAAACTATAGTTGGGTGCATTAATTCGTCACTGCAAATATTTTGTAAATAAAATAAGTCATTACTCTCCTGAGCATGTTTGGTCGCTCATGTACGTCTCAATGTGCAGCTATTAAATGCTGCATGCATGGCTGAGTATTGAAGTAATTGACAGGTAGTTCTGGGGTGGCAGCCATTCATTTCTTACAAAATAAGAAGACGCCAACAACGCCAGCTAGTCTGTCTGAAGCCTGTCAGGTTCCAACATGCCAGGATACAAATGATATTTTGTTTCCTTCATTGTGAAATACTGTGCAGCAGAAAGTCCAACAACCCAACAGAAGAACCAAACCAAACAGACTTCAATTTCCTGTTGCATACCCTTACTGTTAACGTGCTATTTGACTTTCAATTAATTTCAAACTCAGAGCTACCTGTGGCACTCCCAAACAGTGTTTGTTTAATGGATAAGAATCGAAGGCAAGCTAAAACAATGAGAAAATAACTTTAAAAACATTTAAAATGCAAATTCAACATTTCTGGTAACATTTATTTAAACTACTATATCGATGCCGATCCCCAGCTCGGGTCCGAAACACTGATTGTCCAGCGCCTCCCAATGTGAAAGGCACTATACAAATGTAATTTTGTTGTTGTTGTTGTTTTGACACCACATGGCTAACGCATTGTCGATCTTAGCCAGAAAGTACAAAGATTTGTACATTGCAGTTAAGCAGTTGCGTTGCAACACAGAATGTCAGAATTGGGTCAACCATCTGTGACGATCTGGGTAATCCAGTCCCTGAGCCAGTCACGGTATTCCAAGGCACTGCTGGGGACAAACTGCTGGGGGCAACAGTTCTTTTCACTTGGCTGCTATTAACCCTGCAAGCCAAAGCGCTAGGGATAGGTTTGGGTAGGGTTGGGTTCTCCTAGCTGGACTGGTAGTAGGAAGCTTGTCAGACAAGCAAGCTGTGTTGTTAATGAGTTAATGGCAAGCTACACATTTTTAGCTGGTTAAACACCAGCAGTACCCATTGCACTCTTTGGGGTCCCCAGGTTGTGGCTCTCACCAACCTGTGCCCAATATTTTTTAGAATTAAGTAAGCAGGGTGAGTTCCTCCAGGGAGAGTGAACTTTCCATTCCAGACACAAAGAAATATGTAGGTGATATACATATGTGGAAATCTCAATCTGGTGTGGATACTCTTAAGTATGGTGATATGTTTCCTCATGTGCCAGACAACCAGCTGACCTAAAAAAAGCTGTTTCAGTGAACATGTTCTCACTTGAAAAATTGTGATTGTACTTTACATCAAAGAAAATTCAATTTTGATTTAAACCTTTGCTTAACATGTATATCCTGCTTTGTTTACAGTCTCGAATTTTTTCAGTATTGTAGCTTCTTTTTCTGTTCTAGAATTTAAAAAAATGCACGTATGGTTGAAAGCTGACTAGAAAATTCAGTGTTAAAACGGTTAATGGTTTATCCAAATAAATCAAAGGTGACCTTTTTGTCATTGCTACACTGCTGCCTTTTTTACTTCAGTGTTCAATATATGGTCAATATTGGTGATGTTTGACCCTTTTCGGTTATATGTTCCATGAAAGATTCGAGTGTTTCTTTAATGAGTCAAATCTTTGTTTTTTAGCATAAAAAGGTTACTTGAAAAAAACACAATACATTGTCTAGAGGAAAATCAGAAGGTAGGCTTGTTTTACAATCTGACGCAAGACTTTATCTGCTTGCAAGAAAAGGGCCCTGCCAACTTGTTTCAGCCAATCTGCACAGGAACTTGTTTTACATATGTGAGGCTGTCAGTAGAGCAACACTAGTTTTCTGCATTGTGCTGTCACGTGATGATTGACTTCTGTTTACCTGTTTGCCAAGTGAGCAGGTACAATACAAATAAATCATGCATTATATTCATCCGCAAAATACACATTCAATTCACTCTGCAGTAATATTCTCTGAAGTGCTTTGAGACGTCTCAATGATGTGATAAGGTGCTATATCAAATGCAAGGATTATTATTATATATAATAATTTTCAGTACAGTTATAGTTGTATACAACGAACGTAGTTATTCAATATGCCTGAGAGCTACAAAGCTGCTGTGGAAGTTTTTATTTGTTTGCACTATGTATTTGAATTAAATTGCGACATTACATTTAGGAGTTAATGGCTACCCGCTCTAAAGCAACTTTCTAACTGCAATCTCCAGTGTTGTCTCCATGACTGTTTGTGTTGTAACAGCCCAATGACCAACAGGCTCTTATACTGTGTTTACACTGGTAGCTTGTTTCCAGAGGCAAGCCTGTTTCCAGAGGCAACTAGTAATGTAAAATTATCAATTTTTCCAGCTCTGGAGACTCCCTAGGCCCAACTCTCAAATATCCTGCTGTGTGAGTAAGGAGATCTGACTAGAAGTCAAACATTGGAGAGCAGGTCTGGTGACTTTACTTGCCTGGGAATGTCACCGGGTCCACTCTCTCTGATGCGTTTGAGTTATGTGTTCCAAGGAAGTATCAAGTCTTTGTTATTTGGCAATAAAAGATTAGTAGGCTTGTTTTACAATCTGACCCAAGACATTATTTACAGCATGCATGGATAGGGTTCTGCCCTACCAACTTGTTTCAGCCAATCATGCTTTTAAAATTAAACTATGCAGTCAAATCTTAATATGTCACATAACTACTTAGAACCTCCTTTTAGAGGTTTGTGACACAGAGGAAAGCCAGCCCATCATTTCAACAATGTACTCGTTGACTTTGCTCAAATGTTGTTCAAAAGGAACCCTTTCACTCGTGAGTGTTGTTAAAATATCGAATTCACTACAAGTAGCTATTGAGGCTGGATTGATAGAATTATTCAGAAGCGAACTGGATAAGCACCGATGTAATAAAAATATGATGGGATATGGGAAAGAGCTGTGAAATTAAATTAATAAAGAAAAGAATGACTTTGAAAAAAATGGGTACCAGTTAACCAGGTTGCGACAGCTACTTCCTAAGGTTACATTATAGTGCGTTATCATCCGATATGCATGCTGCATTCTATAGTATACCAGGTTGTATCTCCTGATGAACAAGTATATTGCAATGGTATTTGCACCAGTCACTTTTGCACATAGGAAGTAGTTTTTGTAAGAAAGACACTAAAGAATCAGATAATTTAGGATCCTGTTGGTTATAAGATTGCTCAGTGTAACAGGTGACACCAGACGGTAAGGTTGCTCAAGTCTTTCGACCAGTGAAGAATTTAAATGTTAGGGACTTCATGTCACGTAGAACAAGATAAGAATGTTACATGCCTTCAATCTGATAGCAACTAGATACAGAGCTGAATATTGTCTTTACACTCAGGAGTTTCTGTTTTCTGTGACAGAAACCAAAATGACAATGAGGTTTGAAAATTCTGTGATTTCCAATGGGTTATCTTAATAAAAAAAAGATTTATTCTGAACAGAAGTTGCACTGCACCTTGGGAACTCAGTGTTGGAAATAGGTGGCGTTGATAAGGAGTTCCCGCAAATTAGCATGATATACTTACAGTTACCAGAAGGAGTCCTCATTTGATTGACTCAGAATCTGTATTAAGGAATCACATTAGAAATTGCCACATTTTTTCCCCCCGGTCAGGTCAATGAGAGCTTTGCCACTTGGCCCATGTATTACTGACTGTAGTGATGAACTGCAAACAACTGGAGGGCAATCCAGTGACTGTGACGAGGATTCAATGGGATATTCATTGTCCAGAACACACTGCAGGAGTTGGCTGCTGTGATGATGGTGATGGCTTAACAATGTACTTTTAAATGTTGAGAGCCATTAAAAATTCTCCGAGTCAAATGTAAAGAGTACAACTCCATGTTCCAGTCTTCTACCTTTGATCCCCTCCCCACCTCCCAACACACACACACACAAACACATCTCCCTCCATACACACTGGCCTGCCATTAATACTGGAGTTGAGCCTATTAATTTCCAGTTTGTTGAAGACATGATGACACCCAAATTCCTGGGCTTAGAACAGCTACTGCTTATCTTTGCATCAATCTTCTATGTTGGAATTGAGCCCAACCTCTGTGATGATATCGGTAGTCTGGTTCCTGAGCCAATTGGGTCCACAGTATTCTGGGGTCCTGCTGCTGAGAGACCAGCCAGCCTGGCTCATAGGCAGGACTTGGAAGCGCAGACCAGTTACTGGGGGCAGAGACTCTTCCCACTCAGCACCTGTTAACTCTGCACGTCAAAGCCCTAACTGGTAACATGGTCCTAGCTGGATAAGCAGCAAGAAGCTTGCCAGGCAGTGCTCTCAATGGCAAGCTATGTGGTTTGGGCTGGTTAGACTTGAAGCTGCTACTCATGATATGAAGCTTTCAGGAGTTTGGCTTTTTAACCTCGTCCAGAAACACCACTTAATCTTAGCCTATGAGACTATTTTATCTTAAAATTTACGATGGAGCGGAATTGTGGAAAATTCTTAAATGCAGTCTTAATATGTAAGCTGTTTTTCAAAGTTCTTAAAGAAATACTGACTGAGTTTAAGAATTTTCCACAATGCTGAGGCCATCCTAACTGTTAAGACAAAATGTTCTCACAGGCTGAGGACTGGATAGAATTTCAAGCTTTATATTGCGTGGTGGCATAAAGTGTCCTTTGGTTAATTTTCTGCAACGAGCGCAGGGAATGGTAGAGATCATTCCCACATCTGTAATCACTAAAGAGAGCACTCATACCATTTACATCTATGTAAACATTTCAGGTAACAGATTTCAGTGACTACCGTTACTGTTCAATGTTCCCTACTAACCCATTGCTAGAGAACAAATGTGAGGATTTGTGGGCTTGATAAGAAGTAAGCTGTCACTGAAGCACACCGACAGCAAAAGAACACATTGGTTTGTTTAACCTCTCCATTTACAATTACAATACATTAGTTGTAAACTCAAGTTCTTGGTGTTAGGATATGTTTTTATAAGTTTTTGCAAGGGAAGAGAATGCTTTTTTACATTGTTTTCTATTAGCTATTTGAATACAGGCTAAGGCCGACAAAAGAAAATGATACAATCTCTATTGCTGACAGAAGCTAACAGGAAATAAAACGACTGACTGATTCCTCTGTTTACAGACCCCAGGCAGACCCAATCATCACCACCGTGGTCATATGATCAGTCCTATCCATCCTATCTGAGTCAGATGCCTTCACCTTCCATACATTCCACAGCCCCTCTCTCCTCCGCCCGTGCCACAGGGCTTCCTGCGATCACTGCTGACATGCCAAGACGACTTTCAGGTAGATGTGATCTCAGGCATAAACCTTTTATATATTTAACCTTCTGAGGAGCAGTGGTGAGCGGACAATTAAATCTATGGCTTGGATGCTGGCATCTGTACAGAGAGAACAAGTACAGTATTCCTTTATGTCCCTTATTTGAATTGCTATGTGATAACCCATACTGTCAGTTAACATATTTATATTTTCATTCCTTTCTTTTCAACGATCTTTCTTCCAGTGTACAGTATTATGCATTTTAACAGCTCGGTTACTTTTGTCAGTTTATCTGGCTGGACTGACTGAATTGAAACTTTTTTTTAAAATCATACTTAAAATGAAAGGTTCAACAGGATTGTGAAATAGTTCTTTAGGATCCAATTAGCTCCTGCCTATAACAAATTCTGTTAATATGGTTTCGAATATCTGGTTAAGAAAGGGCTTGTTTAATAAGGTTGCTTTTATTCTCAGTGCAGCTTTTATAAAGAAATATCTTGTTTTTTTCTTAATAAAACGGCACTGAAAGTCTGAAATGATTTTTGTTTGTCAATTCTATTCCATCCTCCTCCCCTAAAGACAGTGAATCTTGTAGCGTTCTGGTTCCTTGGGCACTGGTTACCTTCATGTACCTCAATCAAGTAGCAGCTCATAATGTGTGAAGCCAGATATCAGGATATCAGCCTGGCTCAGTTGGTAGCACTCCAACCTCTGAGTCAGAAAATGATGGGTTCAAGCCCCACATCAGGACTTTGTTACCCACAGGCCAGGCTGACACTCCAATACGGTGCACGGGGTGCTGTATTATAGGAGGTGCTGTCCTCTGAAAGAAATGTTAAACCGAGGTCCCATCTGCCTGTTCCAAGTGGATGTTAAATATCCCATGGCACTGTCCAGACCAACATCTCCCATAAGCCTCTGTTGGCAGCCTAAGGGGTACGATCTTAAGTGCTAAAGTAAATTTTTTTGATCAAATAGAAATAGAAAAACCAAAAAATTCTCTATAGCTTGTACTTCAATGCAACTTGCATTGTCTGTAACTTGTAGGGAACTTACAATACCCTGAATACTTACGTTTAAGTTTCTGCATTATCTGAATCAGTTTTGCCCAGATAACTTATTTTATCATGTTTATAGCCCAAATTACAGGATCACCTGAAGTTTAACAGGATACAGAAATAACTGAATTCCTGCAAACTACAGTAACAGCATGAAACTAATTACATTTTGTAGAATCTTCCCCAACAACATGCAAGAAATTGTGCAACAAACATTCCCACTGGTATTTCATAGCAAATTCATGATCCATGAATTCCTGAAAGGTGAGCACTATCCTATGGTTAACAAGGTTTTCCCTTAGCACAATATTAGTGTGGTTAGTAGTTACCATTGTATTATTGTCAATTGAAAGTTGTTACTTGTTATTGAAACAACAAAAGACTTGGAGATTCTATTTAACTGAGGTCAGTGTTGATTTCAGGCTGTGGATAGATCACTGTGGCTGTTGGGATACAGATCAGCCTCAAGACAAACTTTAGCATTAGCATGTTTTATATAACCCCCTTCTCACACGAGATGCATTGTCAATAATCACTTTTGCCTGGGCTATTTCTTTGCTAGATTGGTATAGAATAAGATATCTCCATCTGAAGAACAATGGCGTGCACTGAGCGAGCTGATCTGGCCTCTGCAATTGCAGCCACTTAGGGCTCTCCTTTACATTCCTGATCACTATTCAATAACTAGAGCTGGAAAGTTCTTGTGTGCAGATAGGTCGGATTCACCTGTAATAAGAACATAAGAACATAAGAATTAGGAGCAGGAGTAGGCCATTCGGCCCCTCGAGCCTGCCCTGCCATTCGATAAGATCATGGCTGATCTTCAGACCTAATTCTAATTAGCTGCCCTATCCCCATATCCCGTAATCCCTCTTTTTTAAAAATCTATCAGTCTTAGCCTTGAAGATGTTCAAGGACTGAGTATCTACAGCCTTCTGGGGGGAGTGAATTCCATAAATTCACTACCCTCTGAGTGAAGAAATGTTTCCTCAACTCTGTTCTTAAAGGCTGACCCTTAATTTTAAGACTGTGACCCCTGGTTATAGATTCTCCTACCAGGGGAAACAGACCCTCAGTGTCTACTTTATCCAGCCCTTTAAGAATCTTATATGTTTCAATAAGATCTCCCCTAATTCTTCTGTACTCTAGAGAATATAGCCCTAGTTTATTCAGCCTATCCTCACAGGTCAGTCCCCTCATACCAGGAACTAACCGAGTGAATCTACGCTGCACCCTTTTGCAAGTGTGTCCTTTTTTAATTAAGGAGACCAAAACTGCACACAATACTCTAGGTGCGGTCTCACCAAGGCCCTATACAGTTGCACCAAGACTTCCCTACTCTTGTACTCTAAACCTTTTGCAATGAACACTAACATGCCGTTCGCCTTCTTAGTTGCTTACTGCACCTGCAAACTAACGTTTTGAGAATGATGTACAAGAACACCCAAATCCCTCTGCACACTAATGTTCCCCATAGAGTCAGCAGGGAATGTCACTGTCTAGGTACCACATGATAATGCTCACTTGGTGAGGTACTGAAGAGCAGCCTAGGCCTGTGAAAACAAATCCTGTCTTCAATCCAAACCATCAAGAGATGACGAGAATATTTGTACTGCATCATTTCAAAACCAAACCTGAATGTGCCACTGGCAATATGGAGTTGGTTATTCTCACGGCCATTCAATGCATCTTACAAAATAATAATAACGATAATAATCCTTGCATTTGATTTAGCGCCTTATCATGTTGTCTGTCTCCAAGTGCTTACTGTGAAGTGTAGTGATTATGTATTTTTAGACAAATACAAATATGATCGTCACTCTTATAGAGACACTATAACAGGCAGTTTCATTAGTCAAGGCAATATTAATAATGCAGCACACGTGGCCTCTCAGGTATCTGATTGTACTGATTTTTGTAAAAGCCTTGCAGTTTCTCAAATTGCTTGGATCTGAGGAACAAAGGTTGTTCAGGTTTTATGTATTGATCGATTTATATTTGATCTGTGTAGGTCACCCAAAGTGTTGCAGTCAGCCAAAACTACACATAGTTTCACAAACTGCTGAAAATCTACAGCATACTTTTGACACGTTTTCAACTACTATAAAAGAGCATGTAAACACTTCTCCCATCAGAAAGTGNTTTTTTTACAACGGGAAAAATAATAATCTTACTTTTATGGGGTGTTTTGTCACCAGAGACCTGAAATGCTGCACAGTCTTAGCTTGAAGTGTTAGCTTTAGTCCCCGTCTTAAAATTTATGATGGTGCAGAATAGTGGAAAACTATTAAATTGAATTTTAATTTGAAAGCCTTTTTTTAATAGCTTTTTAAAAAAAATAAAACTCAGGAGAAACAGCCTCCAAATAAAGATTGAATTTTCACAAATTCTGCACGATCTTAAATTTCAAGATGGTAGTCTTATAATAATAGTAATCCTTACACTTGCTCTTATGGCTGGACAATTGACATTAGTGCACCTCATAGGAGCATAGAATATACAAGACCTTAGGAGACCACTGAAGCCCATCTGGGAAATCCCAAAGGATGATGCAAAGGAATTGACGTTTTCAGTTTATCCACAGGAGTCTCTTAAAATACTGGCTCCCAGCATTACGTGTAAAATGTTTTACTCATTTTATATTGAAATAAAAGCAGATGAGGAATCATTACCCTGGAACAGCTGCTGCACTTGAACTGAATATTATATTTAGAACACATTTAAAATATTTGATCCAGTGGTATTTTTAAAGCGGGTGGAAAGCTTTACAAGTAACACTTTTTTAAGGATTTCCTGTTTTGTACTGTCGCTAAACGTCCTATTATCAGGACTCTTCCAGAATTCAGTGTGAAATAAAACATCTCCATTTGATGAACAGTAAAAGTATTGGACAATTCAGGTTTACTCTAAAGGCTCAAACTTGCAATAATTTGACCAACAGTAATTTTACTCCAGACTCAAATTCTGCTGCTCGGTAAACAAGGGCCCAAAGTTATTCCAGAATCCCATTTCACATGGTTACCAAACAGTGAAGAGCTGTAATGTGATGATGTAACCACAGCAGTGAACAGTACATCAGCACAAATCTCATGATCTAATGGAATATATTGGAGAACAATGTAGAGGTGAAATAAACGCAACTGGGATAACTCTTTCTTGCATTTGAATAATGGTGGTCTTTCTCGGTTTATGCTCTTGGACAATCCATGATTTGTGTGTAAAGTACTAGATCTCAGGCAGCCAATGCAAGGCAGTCATCTCACCCAGGTGTTCCCATGAGGCCATAACAACAACTTGCGTTTATACTGAGGCTTTTACATAAAAGAAACCTCCCAAAGAAACTGCAAACAAACCTTGAGCAGTTTAAACTCTTCTGAACCTCATTGAACTCAGATCGCGGTGTAAGTTATTGTTCTGGATTCACTGTTGTGCATTCCTGTTTTGTATTTTAATTTTAAATCAATCTCTGAGTTTCCTCATTCAAGGTATATCAATAGTGCAGCACATGTGTCAGCACTAATGTTAACTATCAGTTCACTCTGTGCTGAATCTATGGTGATGGGCATACATAACGAATGATTCTCCGATCGTTGGTAAAACCTTGGTGGGGTGGCAATATTGAATATCCGCTGGTTGTTATATCTCCTAGGATATTCCCATTTACAAGGTCAGTCATTTTATCTGCCAGTGGAGGATCAGATGCATTGACCTGCATTAACAATCATGACATTCCTGCAAGTTGATCTGTAGTTGACTATGGCAAACCATGGTGTTGTGGGATTGGAAAAAGCAGTGGTTCGCAACAGGATTTACGATTAGTGAATCAGACTCACTACTATATAATCCTGTGAGAAACTGTGGAACTATATCTCAATCTGAGTTGGTGACTTTGGGATGGTCAGGGAGCAAATTGGGGAAAGGGAGACTAACAGCACATTTGCAGTGGCTTTCAGCACAAAATCTACA